CAAGAAAAAAGCCACTCCTCAAGAAAGGCCACATGCAGTCACGACTGAGCTTTGCCAAAACACACCTTAAGATTCTGAGGCAGAATTATTTGGCCTCAACACCAAACGATATTTCTGGTGGAAATCCAGTACAGTTCACCATCCAAATAACAGCATTCCTCCAGTAAAGCATGGAGGTGGAAATATCCTGTTGTGAATTTCTTTGCATGGCCTAAAATCTGAAAAACTGTGGAATGACTTGAAGACTGCAGTCCACAAACACTCACCATCATATTTAACTGAACTTGAGCAGTTCTGCAAAGAAGAGTGGGCAAATATTGCAAAGTCTAGATGTGAAAAGTTAGTAGAGACAAATCCCAACAGACTAAAGGCTGTAATTAAAGCAAAAGGTGGTTCAACAAAATACTGACACAAGGGGGTGATTCTTTTTCCAACTCAGTGATTGTTTTTTTTCTGACATGTTGGTGTTACATCTTTCACTTGGATGTTATAAGTTGCACTGAATAAATACAACTGGATAAAACAAAATCTGTGTCCGGCATCATTTCAGGCTGCAAAGCAACAAAATGTGATTATTTTAAAGGGGGTGATTCTTTTCTATACCCACTGTATGTTCCAAATGTGGCAGATTTTAAATCATGTCATTCAGGGTGGAAATACTGCCAGAATCGAACCTGCATTTCCCACATGAGCACCAAGGCTTGAGCGTTAACCACTAAACCACAATTCCAACTGTCTTGTGACTCCTAATGGTACTGAAATTCAGTCTCTCACACCTAAATCACAATTTCTGCCATGGCATTTCTTTTTCTCCCCACTCTTAAGTCTTTGATTCTTTGCGTCTCTCTGGTTGTGTCTTCGTAACCCTCCGTCCTCTTGGGGAAGCAGTGGGGACGGCTGGCCGCTTGAGCCCTCGTGGAGGTTAATGGTGACTCGGGCTCCAGGTGGGAGTAATCAGCTGTGTGCAGTCCAGCGAGGGTCAGCGGGTACCAGCGCTCCCTCCTGGAGCCCCTCTCGCTCCCTCCCTTGCCCCCCTCCTTCATCCGGCAGAGGAGTGTTAGGGCCCGGAGAGTGCCGAATGATTGCTAATAAAACATTTGATTGAGAGGAGAGCGGAGTGCCAACCATAAACAGGCTGGATTCTGCCCTTTAATTTCACCATCGCCAGAGAATTGCTTTTGCTGTGCCGCAGAGCGAGGCTTATACACAAACAGTTAGTTGTCTAGCCTAGAACTGAAGATCTAATTTTGTTCACACAAGCGTGTGTGCGTGCGCACATTCAGGCGTTTGTCTATTTTGTGTTCCTGGGGACAAAAACTAAGGGCTTTTCATTTTAAATTCTCACTGCTGTAGATGCTGCCTCGACGCTGATAAGAAAAAAACAATCATTTCATACTGCTGAGAAAATTGGCCGTAGTGCGGCTAAGATGGCAACAGCCTTTCGCGGAACACGTCGGATTCTAATTTGCTTTTTCTGTCAGGTTGAATCGTGTTGCTGAGGTGTGTGTGTGCATGTACCTGACTGCATGCAGACGGTGTATTAATGCACCGTATGATTTACTAAATGCATTTTTTGCTGCACTCCCAGTATATAATCACCACGTTCCCCTGTAACATTCACAACAACAACAACAACTCAGAATTTCTGCATAAAACATGCTTGTGGGTGTGTGTGTGTTGGGCTCAGATGAAAGGTTAACGCAGGAGCATATATCAGACACTAGTGTGCAGTAATAAAGGGCCAGCTATAGAGCTGCTTCTCTCCTTCTGGGAACTGCGTGCATTTTTATAACCTCACTGACAGCAAGATAAAGTGCTCTTCCAATTAGAAAAATATTTGGACGCATACCTTCCTGCGAGAGTCCCTGGCTTTTTTATTCTCAAACCCATTTTATATGGAATCTTGGGTATTTTGGTTGTTTGTTTTTTGCTCCACGAATGCGGCACGTGTGTTTTTGCCCTCACAGCATGTGTGCTGCGTTTCTCGCTTTAGAGGAGAATGTTCGCATGCATCCAGTTTTTGTAAGGGCTACGGTTGCAGACATTGCAATGCCTGCACTTCACGCTCACATATGCACCCTGATTAATTTTTCACCCTCGTCCACATTCTTTCCTCCTTCTTTTAAGAATAGATGCATTTTGGGGGGCTTTTCTTACAGAGTGCATTAAAATTTAATTCTCTCTTGTTGTTGTGAAAGAGGCGCACGTTAAAAATAATTGGATGAGGGAGAGAACAAAGGGCTGCCTCTCCCTTGCGTGGCTGCATGGCCCAGCGAGGCGTTAATGCCGCGCCCGCCGCATTGTTCGGCTGTCTGCAGCCATCTCCCCAGCCAGACACTCAGCGCTGCTCAAGTCACTTTTAATGTCTGATAATCAAGGTGAATTTTCAAAAAGCTGCCATTTTCAAATGATGGTGTATGTACTATGTGGAGATGGGGATTTTGAGAGAGGGGAGGGGCCGGCGGTGGGCGGCAGACGGAATGAGGGCCATGCACAGTGAAAGAGAGACACCTACTGGTTGCGGGCGGAACTGCCGGGGCGCTGTGCAGGGGGTTTGATGGTTGCATGACAGATGTGTGATTGGCTTGCATGCAAATCGTGTAGCTTACGTGGAAGCGACAGTGGAACATGGCACTCCGAGAATTGCGGTTTCTTTATTAACTGTATTATTTGTGGTACAGAGCAGTGAAAGACAGCCAGAATATATGCATATGAATAATACACCATAATGTGCTTTTAAAAAAAATCTAATTGTTTGCATTAGTTAATGCATTATTTAATGCATTCGCAATCAGGTAGAAATATACGATTTATGCAACTTGTTAAATGTGTATTAGTATATGCAGAAATCAACTACTTTCCATTTATAAATTTGTAAAATAAGCATCGTTTATTGTTAGTTCATATCTAATGCGTTATCTATCTTAATGATCCTTATTGTAAAGTGTTTAATTAAGTTAATTTAGCTCACAAACACACTCTTTTGTGCTTTGCTGGACTAATGTTTGCTTCTCAATGGTTTGCACCTTTATTTGCCACTGACATGTGTCAGGCTCTTCCATGAATTTACATTTTCATTTGGGCAGTAAAGATGGAGCCATCCATTCGCTACTTTACATGAAGCTGCGCCATGCTTTTTATGCTGATTTCACACATTATCATTTCAAAGAATGGGGCGAATTCTGGGACGAATGTTCAGTTAATTTTTATTTTATTTCAAGTAAATATTTTTTTTATACTTTTATGATTTTATAACAGCTTATGCATACAGTATGAATGAGGTAATCCATTAATACTAGCATATTTGCTGATAGGAAGTAGTTTGACCAATAGCATGCAAGCATTGGGCATAATCGACCAATTGTGGTGTACGAGAAGGCAGGATCTACAGAAAACGGTCAAAGCAATTCTAATATGCGTACGTACAATGGATGAAGACATTGATATTTCAATATCGATACAAATCTCAGACAATTTGACAATTTAGATATCTTGTCCAGGAAAAAGAAGACGTATGGTCACCTTAATAAAACCAATGCAGTTTTTTGTAAATGTGCATCTGTAGCCGTTCATTACCGTGTTAAAGTCCCACTTCATTACCTTAGTGTGTAGCAACCAAGCTCTGTCTCCCTATACATCCTTTTTTTCTCTTTCTGCAGTGCTTCTGCATTCTCATTTTTCACCCCAGCATGCACCACACCGAACGCTGCAATACATTACAGAGGTGAATGTATGCAGCACGTAGAGCGTAATAAGTGTGTATTTATTTCCTCCAGACTGATTTACTCTCCCCTGGCTTGGAGGAGGGAGAGGAGAACAACCATCTGCAATGAGCTTGATGTATCAGATCGCACAGTTTTTTGCAGTACAATTCTTTTTATTACTACATTGTGACTGTTTTTGTTATTTTTTGGCTTGTACGTGTATTTGTACACCATGTTTCAAGCAAAAGTCTCTGTGGTGCTGGACTGAGGGGACTAAATACAAAAATGGGATGGAAGCCTGAAATTACTGCTGAGCTTTGTGAGGGCCGTGACAGGACAGGGTCCAAATGCATTATCCTCTCCATAAGGCCTCGTCTAGTGATAAAGATGGAGAAAAAATACTTTGCGTTCTTAGAAGAAAATGGATGAGTAAAAAGCCTTTGGTCCAGTGTGTCTGTTTTTGTCATTGATTATGAGAGCGGTGGGGTTTGTTTTAAGATGCCTGTCTTCAGTGGACTGACTTAATGCACCGGCAGAGCGGGAGAATGTGAATGAGGAGGACAGGAGCCTGTGTCTTCACTTCTCTTTCATGAAGAGGCCACTGCGGACGTGTCTGGCTTCCTGAGAAGGATCCTCGTCTCTGTGCGTGTTTGTGACTGCGAACGTGGAC